GAAAACTACAATATATATAAATGAAATCAAACATACTTGCATATTGCCGTTTCCAGCGGAAGGTCTACCGCGAAAAAATCGAACCATATATCGAACATAATTATAGCCAATTTGGCTGCTTTTATTATAATGTATACTGGTTATGTAAAAAAAACATTATTGCCAAAAATGGTACCGCTAGGTGGCGCCAGGTTCGAGATATTTTGAAAAGCCATATTTGTTTATGTTTTGATTCATTTCAAATTTGTTTGAAACTTATAAAAACATAGAATTGCAAAAATGGAACCGCTAGGTATCGCTGACGTCAAAATAAAATTAAAAATTCATTCAAATACAAATACACAAATTTTTCAATGGAAATTTTAGTAATATTACGACATGTAACCTCACGTCAATCCTACTACCAACAGTTCAGTTGTAATTCTTTTACTGGATAAAGGGACATTTACATTACTAATATAGAAAAATCTTTTTTAAATATTAACTTTTTAATTTTGTTTTAACATTTTTGTATGCCACAAATGCCACGCAACGCCAGATTGGAAATGGCCATATCTGATTACGATCAAAAAAATAGCTCGTACTATTTAAAATAATTTTATTGGATATTCATATCGCTTTAAGCTTAAGGGTTTTTATATTGAGCATATATGCTGATTAAATTTAAGAAATGACACTCATTGAAATGCTTTCTTAGCCGAGAACAAAATGAAATAGTAACACAAATATGGCAAAGTTCTGAAAACGATTTCGTTTTTGAAGTTTAAAAATTTAAAAATTCTTAGATTTTTGCAAGTTTTTTTTTGAATAAATCAAAAAAACAAAAAAAGATTTCTGAGTGGGAAATATTTTTTTCGGCCAAAAAATATTTACTTTTAACGATTTCATAACAATTCTACAAAAAAAATTATTTTCCTTATACGGCACGTACAGAAATCTTCAAAATACAGCTCTCCTTATTTTCCATTTTCTAGAATTCTACAGCAAAAAAATCCAAAAAGTTGATTTTCCTATGTATTTTAGGGCACTCTTATGTACATAAGAGTATTTTCGGTTGAAGACAACACTTCTTTCAAAAAAGAAAATTTCCAGAGGTAGATAAAATGAAACGGGCATTAAATCCCATTCTAACAAAACGAAATCGCATTGAGGTTACTCGTTAAAGTGGTGTTCAGTTTTTGTGATGTAGTGGTTAGCACTGCGCTCTATCATACCGTAAGGTCTGAGTTCAAGCCCATGCAGCGAGCATAGTCTGCCATGAAAGGCAGCTTCTCATAAAAATACAATCGCCGTTGGGAGTCGGCGTATAAGTTAAGGTCCCTCCACTTGAGTAATAACATCAAGGTGCACGCTACAAATCGGAGGAGAAGTTCGGCCAAACACTAATATATTGCATATGCGCCAATCTATTATTATTATTCTTATGAACTCAACTATGTACATACATATTTCGATGGTACTTTCCCATTTTCTCAAATAAGTAACGCACAAATATTTAGGAAAGCTAGTGTGATAATATTTTAACATAATAATCCATTTTGGTTTTAAAGTTTTACTTTTTAAAACGCCTGACCCTTTTTTATTGCACTAATATAACTAAATACCAAATAAATAATTAACTCCGGTGTTTAACAAAAACACACAAACGTATATATGTATATATATATATCTGCATATGTATGAATTAATTTACATGCTCCGCTTAAGTTTTGTGTATATATCAGGAAAGGGAGTATAATTTTTAATTGGCCTTCATTAAATTATATTTTATGTGTATAAACACATGCATTCTAATTTATTTTGATTTCATTCAGCAATTAGGTTCACAAAAATAATACCCCTGATAAATAATGCAAGCCAATTAAAGTGCTACTAGATAATTTAACATTTTCTATCAGTTATTCCCAAATTGAGCAAAACCAGATATCAGTGGTCACCGCTGGCGCATGAAATTAGCAGAAAAGGGGGAATGGATTTCTAATTGATACGCTACGACTTCCCGTTAGTGGTTTTTGATGATATTTGCTTATTTCGTGATTAATACGATGGATGAGAATGTTACTTATACGCCATGTACGTACGTTCGATTTTAACTTTTTCGTTATAAATGGTAGATCCAATATGCCTCCGCGATTAGGAATTTTTAAAATCTGACATCAGATTTGAGTTCAGCAATACCGAAAAGCCCCGAATATCAAGTTTCGAGCATAAATGTTGAACTAAAAAAAAATTCGTCCTCCACCTTGGTTCAGCCATTTTGAATTTTTAAAATCCGATTTGTATTCAGCGACCCTAACAATGCTTAAAAAAGCATCCCTTCATTTAATTTTTTAGGTTTTGTAATTTTTATTAATGATATTATTTGTCGGCACGTGTGTTTGGTGAATTGCATCACTTCTACTGACGCCACCATATTGCATTTCGAAAATCGCCACACTGCTTTTAAAAGAGTGTACAAGCATGTTCAGCCCTTGAACGCTTTCTTTGTATTGCGTCAATTTTTGGTAATAGCTCTGCTCCGGTTGACATCGAACGTCCCATATATATATTTTTTAAATTTAATTTTTAGAAACGTATTTTATGCATTTGTTTTCTTTTTTAATTTTATTTTTTTCTTTCTTAATTTATTATATTCTAATTTTTAGATGTTATTGCTTTATAAAGAATAATGTTTTTAAATTAATTAAAGTTTTGGAGACTGATTTTAATTATTTTGGCTTACTTTTAAACACAATTTGTTTGTTTTTTTTGGTTACTTTATTTTCTTTTAATTTGTAGATTTTGCATAATTTTTTGGTATTTACTTTTTAAATTTTATTTGCTCATTTAATTTTTAGATGTTATTGTTTTAAGAAGAATTTTTTTTATTTTAATATAATTTAATTCTTAAATATATTTTTATTTATTTTTGCTTTATTTTAATTTTTTTTAATTAAATTTGTATGTATTTGATACTTATTGTTGTTTTAAAAATAAAAATATAAGTATATGTACATATATGAATTTTTTCATTTAATTTATTTAAAAGAAATTTTTTTCTAAAATGCGAACAGCATAACGCTAAGGCCTCCTCGTTAGTAGATCTTTCAGTTAGTCTTTCGAAAGACAGTAAAAAGCTTTCAAGATAGTTGCCAGAATTGACTATCGCCTTACGAACGGTTTTTGGTGGTTAGTTGAAATGCAGTTGCCAGAATCGCTCTGTTAGCTTCTCACCAGGGCAGGTACGATTTTCGCCTAATGCAATTTCTGCTATGCTAGACCTTGTCGTAAGAAGGACCGAGAGAAAAAAATTTGCCTTACGTCAACTGATGCCCTATATGCAGTGGCTCTCATCTTGTGTACGTCATGAAAACTTGTAAAAACTATGGTCACCGTAATTAAATATAGTGCTACAAGAAAACGGTTTTATAATGATATAATTCAACATTTCTAAGCTATAATATCCTTTTATTGTTACATAGTTATACTGGTATATTTACTCTTAATTGGCTCTAATAATGCACTGTTAAACTGTTATACTATTATATATGTATACAAAATATTATACTGATTTACGGTTAAACCGATAATCTGTTACATTGTTATATGTAGTGTTATGCTCAATTTCTGCTAGACATTGAATTGACAAAATATTGCAGGCATTTAAAAATGCCATTTGGAAATGAATTTAATGACTATTTTTTAATGTAATGAGACGAATATTTTTTAATGCCCAATTTTGCATTACAGTTTTTGCCATTTAATACCTAGTGGAAATTCAGAATTATGCTGTTGTTGTTGCGCTGCTCCAATGGTTTACTGTATAATGTGTAGTATACTGGTTATAGTGTATAGCGTTATCTTGTTAAACTGCCTTAAATTTATGCTGTTACACTGTAATACTGTAAAAGTGCAATATTGCTATTCTGCTATATAGCTAAACTGTTATATTTTTCTAATCCTTACATTATGTATATACTCTATTTATTATACTGCATTTATTACATTATTAAAATCATAGTAGATATATTGATTTGAAAATTTTATGCCGTTTCATGGCCTGATTGTTATGCTGTAATACTGCTACTCTGTTCTACTATGTTATATTTTTACACACAAACATTAATATTTTTATACTGCTATATTAAACGGTATATTGTTATATTTGTGTACTATTAATATTTTATACTCTCATAATGTTTACATTATGCCTTATGTTATTATAATATCAAACTATTATATTAATTTAATATTATAGATGTATAGTGTTATACTGTTACATTATTATAGCTTCACGTTGTTATGCTGTTGACCTGCCGGGTTGTTTATCTGTAAAACCGCTATTCTGTTATGCTAATTTCCTCTTATATACTGCTATACTGTTATACTGTTACGTCGTTATATTATTTTCTTTTTTATCCTATACTGTTATACTGATATACTATTATACTGTTACAATGTTATAGGATTGTACTGTTCTGTAACCCTTTTATTCCGTTAGATTGTCGTACAGTTTGTATACTTATATACTTCTAATCGCCTAGTTTTTGAGTGTATGTATTAAAAGGCTGTATACCACTTGATTAGTATATACGATTAATGAATGTACATTTGCATACATGTTCATTTACATACATATACGTCATTTAGGCTGTGGTCAAAACATATATATTGAATATTTAATTGCTGTTTAATTTTGTGAAAATTTAATTATTCAAAATAGTGAAAATAAATAAAGCAATTCTCAGTAAAACATTAATAAGTAGAACGTAGGTATAAAAGCCACACAAATTATTCTAAAGATTCATAATTACTTTCTACTTTGTGACGTGCAAGTGCTACACCTTCAAAATGGATTATTTTGTGCCGCTGCAATTCGATGGTTGTGGTATTTCTTTGCCTGTGCAGATGATTGGTTATAAGTGCAATTTCCTCTGGCCACTTAAAGAAAATGCCAATCTAATAAGCCGAGTGATGAATTATATAGGTCTGAGTGTAAATGTACTCTTCTATTTTGGCACTATTTTGGGTGAGTTTTGTTAGCTATAAAGCTACATAGTATGTTCACAGGGCACATACTTCTTGCATTTTTCATACCAAAGGCGAGCTCAGTTTTATTTACGAAAATATGGGAAACATACCAGCGATCGCCGATTGTCTGTCCACTGCTCTGATGGGCGGGCAATATATAATACGAATTTTTGTGCTCACCACTCGTAATCGTTCGATGAGAAAGCTATTAAAAAAATTTTACCGCAACATATACTTTACCAAGTAAGCGTGTATCTATTTATACTACCATGAACTACTTAGTACGAGTACAAATGCCCTTTCCTCTTCACTTGCAGCGCCGACGATTTAGCTTTGTATAGGCAACTTAAGGCGATAGTGCGCTATGCTAATATATTCACACAATTCTACTATGCACCAATGCTGCTTCTAATTGCACAATATGCATACGATGTGATAAGCGTGGGTCTGGCATCACCTGATAAGCCATTTATCTATCGTATGTCTTTTCGCTGGTACGACGCACAGGTGCCGCTGCCATTTATCATCACAGCCATCTATACTGGTTGGCTGACGATATCTACTGTGACAATATGGGCCGCTGAGGATTACACACTCTGTTTGGTGCTCTGTCATGCGAGTTTTCGCTATAAGGAATTGCGTTTGGAATTGCAGCGCTTGCTGGAGACGGCACGTGCGGAGGCACATTTCAGAAATGAAGATATGCATACAGCCTTTCGGCGACATCTCTACGATGTTTTTCGACGGCAACAGCGACTAAACAGGTAAGACGTGTGTATGTGCGGCGTGTGTGTGGTATGTGCATGCGATCGTGAGATATGAAGACAGATGTAGTATTTGAATATCTACATGAATTCGCCTTGGGGCGTGTGCCACTGCGTATACGCAATAATTTTTCATCAGCGATTGCTGCATAGATAACGTTTATTTTGTTTCTTGCTACAAACTTCTATTACAGTAATATTTATGTATGTACATTTCATTAACGTATATATGTACATATTTCTTATTTTTCCCCTATTTTAAACCTACGCAATTTATAACTGCAGCTTTATTGCTGAGGCCAAGGCTCATTTCACCCACCAAATATTCTATATTATGTCTTTTGGCGTTCTGCTGCTCTGCGTTGTCTCCTTCCAGTTTCAGCGCGTGAGTACAAGATATTCGATTCAACAGTACACTTAAACAGTTCTGCCATTTTTAATGTACTATTTTTGGCGCTTCTACCAACAAATGCTGTGCTCTTCTTTTCTACTAGACCGAAATGGGCATTGGATGGAGTAAATATATTGCTTGGCTCATTTCACAAACTTCGCAGTTTCTGTTAATTGGCTATTTCGGTCAAATGCTGATGAATGAGGTATAGTTCAGATACATATGTACATACTCGTAGTTACCCTTCTATTAATATAAGAATTTTCTAATTTAGTTGTGTACATTTTCTAATAAATTTTTGAATTTTCCCGCCGCATCTTTTTTCTTTTATTTATTATTTATTCAGACCACAGAGTTAAAAAATAGCTTCTATTCGTGCCGTTGGGAGGATTTGTTGCCTCTAGGCGATCAAAAGAGCAATAAAATATTACTGCGTGATATAAAATTTGCCATAATGAATGCTCAGAAGCCCATTGTGTTGGAGGGTATGAAAATTTTTCCGCTGACTTATGCTACAGTGGGTACGGTAAGTTTTCTTTTTAACATATTGTATGATGAACTATGCTCGTAATAAAAAAAGGTTAATGCATATTTTTGTTTAATTCTTTTAGGCTCTTCGTTCAGCTGTGTCTTACTTTATGTTCTTGAATACTATGAATAACGCTAACTGAAGTAAATTCTATTTCAGAATAATAAAAAAAAAACATACATACATATCGATGGTGCTCTACAAATAATGACTATAAAGACACAATTCAAAATTCAAAAAAATATAATCTTTTATTACTGTTAAGTGGCTCATGTCTCTCAATATTGCCTAATCTATGTCTAATCCTTACTAAAGTAAGTAGTACCGGTTACCACAGTAAGTAATGAGGATGATTGAGATTTAGCTTCTCAATTCGACACATCTCTATGCCCAGAAATCATTTTAAATACGGTAAATAAAAGGGACAGTAAGTGCGGGAGAGAGTGGCGGTAGCTGTGGTTTACCACCTAAATGCGGGTAGAACCAGCACTTTTTCAATGTGGAGTTGCATTGCAACCAGGTGCCAGGACCCAGAGAACGGCAGAGACTTTAGGTAGGTTTCGGCCCTACAAAGGTGGTAAGTTTGTCCACTACACACTGCTTGTTGGTACTGGAGTGCTTGCATTCCAGGGCATCGATCAAGACATGAATTGATCCGTTGTGCTAAAGAGGCACCGTGATGTTAAGCCATACTGGTCACGATAAACCTTACACGCCTCCGACGCCGTGGTCAGTCTTGAAGCCGTCAAAAAATTGAAGTTATGTGTCTGGTTCTTGATTTAAGGCTGCATAGCAAAAGGTTTCATCAACCCCTTTGTGCGGAACTGTCTATTATAGAGCGTTCCGTGTTATCGAAATTACCCAACGTCCAAAAGACATCCCACCTCTAGCCCTTTGTTACCCAAAGACTTATCAAATTTCCTTGTTAGACCCTGAGAAACGTGTATAGTAGATCTTCCTGGAAGACATACATATTGGTATTTATGCAAAGGATTCCCGGTTAGAAAAATATCCGGTTGGTCTGCTGGTCAAGTTTCCCATAGTGCAATGGATGAACGAGCTATTTCTATGGTCTCTACATTGGTTTAGCACCATGTTTTTGTCTTATTCAAAGAAAGGCGTTCAGCTCAACGCTTATCAAATTCTTCCAAACCTTCAGCTGATCAGTAGTTGGATGTTATTTTTTCTATTTTTGAAGAAATATTTGATGCAAGCCTTAAAAAAGTCTTTTAGCAAGTATTTTTTTACTCAATCGGAACTGAATTTATTTTCTTAAGGGCCGCAACTGGAATGTTTTTCATATTAGAACCACACATCAACAAATGCAGTTGGTTCCACTATGTGTAGCTTCGCGCGGTAGATTTGAACATATTTTTCTGGTGCCCATTAAAAAAGAACTTTTGCATCGCCTAGATAATGAAACCGAGTTTGATATTCTGGATTTGTAAGTTATCAAACCATCTAAATTCAATTTGGAATTAAGGCTTTCCTTTATGCCTAGGCGCATGCACACTAGGGTGGTCCAAAATAAGTAAAATCGGAATCTTAATGCTCCCTCACCCTTGTTCTATTCAAAAATCTATATCAGAAATTAAAAAATATGTTCCATGTATTTTATTTGTGGAAAAACTGGTTTTCGTAGAAATGGTATAGAATTTTTGAAAATCAATAAAACTCTGTTTCTCTTCAGCAGACTTCCACCAATAAGACCAAGTTCTTTATTTAACCATTTTTTTAAACTAACTATTTTTTAAAGGTCCCCAAGAACCAGAAATAATCCAAAAGGGGGACACATAAACAGCTGTATATTATTATTATCATTATCCTAAATGGAATCAAAGTTTTCCGATCGAAAACTATTGAATTTCAAGAATTCTATAGATACCATTTCTACGAAACATTGTCTTTTCCCCATATAAAATACATGGAAAACTTTGAGCGACCTCCAAATATTTTTTGATCTCGAAGTAAAAAAACCAGGGGTATATTTTTTCGATCAAGAACAATCCTAGGGGTGAGAGCATTAAAATTCGGACTTCACTTTTTTCACATGCATTTTTGAACCGCCTTAATGTAAACATATCAACCAAAAAAGTTTCACATATGAATTTTAGCTAAAAAGAAGTAATTTTTAAGCAAAAAACTAAACCTAAAAAATTTAAGATTATCGTTAACGTGGTCCAAAGTTATGCGGAACATACATAAAAAAAAGATTCCGACGAATTGATAACCTTCTCCTTTTTGTGAAGTCGGTTAAAAAATAAATAAATTCTTCCCAGCAAATTTCATTAAGCTTCTACGAAATCTAGCAGTTAAACTCTACATATGAACTCATGTAGGGCCAATAAAATAATGTGATACTTAATTCCCTAGTTATTTCATTTTAACTACGCATGGATAGATTTACATACAATCACACTTATATTTAAAAATATCAAAAGTTTACATTGAAAGAGTGACGCTTTATATATGTATGTAAGTAGTATACAAAATAGTTAAATGTGGTTATCCACATAAGTGTGTATCACATAATAAAGCTATAAACTGGTTGTTATATAAATATGAAATAATTTTCTTTAATAGCTCAATTTTAAAGTAAACATTTGAAGTGACTCTATTCACTTGCATAAAACTACATACCTCCTTACCAAGCTTATAGACACACGAACACATACGACATTATTGATAAATTTTGCACTTCAACCAATTTGAAGCTATCCATCAGCATAGTGGCACAACTTTATGGTGACCCAGATATTTTGCAAAATCCATATATCATCAACATAATAATCATCAGCAATTCAACATGAAGAGCTTTCAAGAGCTCAGTTTTTGTCAGCTGTATTAATGGTCATGACCAGGGTTAGGATTTTAAGGCACTAAAAACTTGAAAGAAAGGGAAAATGAGCTTTGAAAAAAGGCAAAAAAAGGAATTTACTTTTTAATATTGCTATGTATATAGGTACATACCTTTACGTACAATGTGCATATACAATAAAATATATAAAAAAATACATACAGTGCTCAAAAAATTTTAGCCGAATCACTTTTTGCCAAGTTTTAAATTATAATTTTTTTACTATTTAATTTTGGTTATTTTTTTTTATAAAAATATAGTTCATTCTTTAACAAAATCCATCATGGTTTTTTTTTTAATTCTAAAAAATCAAGCGTAAGCCATTTGAAACTTGCACTTTATTCTACTGGAATTCAATGTGCTACAAATTTGCATACCCAGAATCTTTCTAGGAAATCTAATTAAAAAAGCTCGAAATTTTTACGAAAATTTGTTGATATTATTTTTTTTTAATTTGCACAAAGTTTTAAGGCAGTGTCACTCGATAGGTAAATTTGTACAGATTTGCACATTTTTATATTGGCATTGATACAATAGATATACAAAAAAAATTGGG